ACATGCACAAAGACGCACACACATACACAAAATCATACACGCACACACACACACACACACATGCTCGCATACACGTATACACGCACACACACATACACATGCACACATGTACACACACACGCACACTCACACACGCAACCATGCACAAAGACACTTGTATCACTTGTAAGTCGCTTTGGACAAAAGCGTCTGCTAAATACATTTACAGACACACACACATACACACAATCATGCACGCACACACACACACACACACACACACACACACACACATATACAAAGACACACACTCACATACACACAATCATGCATGCACACGTGCACACACACACATGCACAAAGACACACACACACATGACACACAAACATGCATGCACACACACACACATATACAAAGACACACACACATACACACAATCATGCATGCACACGCACACACACACACACACATGCACACATGCACTAAGACACACACACACACACACATACACACAATCATGCACGCACACACACACACACACACACACGCACAAAGACACGCACACACACACACACACACATATGCTGGCATAAAAGTATACACGCACACACACACACACACACATATGCTGGCATAAAAGTATACACGCACACACACACACACACACACACACGCACACATGCACAAAGACGCACACACATACACAAAATCATACACGCACACACACACACACACATGCTCGCATACACGTATACACGCACACACACAGACACATGCACACATGTACACACACACGCACACTCACACACGCAACCATGCACAAAGACACTTGTATCACTTGTAAGTCGCTTTGGACAAAAGCGTCTGCTAAATACATTTACAGACACACACACATACACACAATCATGCACGCACACACACACACACACACACACATATACAAAGACACACACTCACATACACACAATCATGCATGCACACGTGCACACACACACATGCACAAAGACACACACACACATGACACACAAACATGCATGCACACACACACACATATACAAAGACACACACATACACACAATCATGCATGCACACGCACACACACACACACACATGCACACATGCACTAAGACACACACACACACACACATACACACAATCATGCACGCACACACACACACACACACGCACAAAGACACACATTCATGCATGCAAACATCCACACACACACACACATGCACGCATGCACACACACACAAACACACACACACACACACGCTGTGAGTGCTGGTACCCTCCTGGAATTTTTGTTACACCCATGAATGTTTGCCTATTTTCTCTCAAGTGTGTGTGTGTGTGTGTGTGTGTGTGTGTGTGTGTGTGTGTGTGTGTGTGTGTGTGTGTGTGTGCATACGTGCATGCATGTATGCGAGTGTGTGTGTGTGTGTGCATACGTGCATGCATGTATGCGAGCATGTGTGTGTGTGTGAAAGAGATAATGTAAAAACAAACACAACTCTCTGGTATCGGGTGATGCTCCGGGAAGTTGTTGAGAGGTGTAGAGAGGACGATGTGTGTGTGTTTGTGTGTGTGTGTGTGGGTGTGTGTGTGGGTGTGTGTGTGTGTGTGGGTGTGTGTGGTGGTGGTGGGTGGGTGGGGGGGGGGGGGGTCTGTGTGGACAAGTGGTGGCAGGACAGCTGGAGGACAATGGGGAGGGTTTGAGCTCTTAATTAATGGAGGCCAGGTCCTGCTGCTGCTGCAGGTAGTGAATCTTAACTCTGGCAATTTTTTCAGTTGGTGAGAAACAATCTGTGGAGACTGAGTCGTTTAAAGTTAGCGTAAGTTATACAACAGCAGAAATATTCTGAATTATTTTTATAATTTAAGTTGTTGCCCTGAGCAGAGCTCCTCTGCCGGCTATGCAGCTTTGATTGAAGGAAAATGTGAGTTTATTTCTTTTTTCTTTGAGCATGAGGCCAGCTTACAACAATCCCTTTAATCAGGCTCCTAATCCTTCTGAAAAACGTCAGTGTGTCATTAATAAAGCTGTGTGTGTGCGTGCGTGCGTGCGTGCGCGCGCGGTTGTGGAGGTAGGAATCTATCTGAAGCTTTTATTGTTATTCATCCTCTTGTTCCATCATCATTAAAATTATTAAAATCTTCTTTATATTTGATTTTTTTATCAGCTGACATGTAACACACACACACACACACACACACACACACACACACACACACACACACACGTAAAAACAAAACAAATAATAACACCTGGAACTCCAGCATCAACGCGTCCACCTGAGAAGACTCACTCACCTCTGACCTAGCATCCTTCCAGACCTCCAAGCTTCAGCTTAAACTTTTTCTTTTGTTTGGTCATTTTTTCCTCCTCTTCTGTCCACAGTCGCGCGCGCGCGTGCACCTGAACGCACTCGCAACTGACCCAGATGGAGGCCTGATCCGGCTCGTGATTCTCCAGGCATGCATGGAACGAGAACCCCCATGTGTCACACACACACACACACACACGCGCGCGCGCGCGCGCGAGGGTGGGGGTGGGGGCTGTTTGTTAGAAACATACCGCATGAGGATCACTAATAGCTCCGGTTCGGGAGATTCCGCCGCTTTAACGGCCGCATTATGCGCTCAGACGTGCGCTGTTCCTGCGCTCTGATCCATCGGGACGCGTCAGTGATAACAGTGAATGATGGCACCTGGGACACACCGCTCTGATATGGCGCGCGCACGGTATCGATTGCGCGTAAACGGCAAAATGCGCACCTTTTTCTGTGCGTCGAAGCTTCAAACCACCAGAATGAGTCTCTTTTCCTCTCTGACTAACCTAACAGGATAATAAACCTTCTGAGTTTTTCTTTGATTGTTTTAAAAAGTTTCATTTTGATGCCCTTTCGTTCCTCCAGAGCATCTTTTATGAGTTTTAACAAACGAAAAATAAATGATAAAATATTCTATGTGAGGACTTTTCTTTGATCTCTTGACTCCTCCGTGAATCCCGTTTAAAACGTCGCTGCGCCACAAATCAGCCTGTTTACAGTCTCACACCAACACTCACATCAATTAACTCCTCATTGATTTTCCCACTCGGGACACGCACCCCCCTCCCCCCTTTAAACTTTATTTATTTATTTATTTATTTATTTATTTATTTATTTATTTATTTATACTCCTCTTGCTGCATTTAATATTTACACCGGCGCGCGCTTGTCCACTAGTGACCGCCTGGAGATGGACGCAGCGTTCTCTGCACGTCCATCAGCATTTATGAGTTTTAAAACTTCAAATATTTGTAACGATCTTTAGAAAAGTGGGAGGAATTCACTCAGAGGTGTTTGATTTTCCCTTTTTTGCTCTCTCCTGTTTTCATGAATAAGTAAATAGTGAGGCTAGTCGAAACTAAAAGATAGCTGACACGAGAGTGGACCAGATCCATCTAGCCTGCAGCTGCTCTTTAAATATTCAGGGAGAAATAATGGCATCCGAGGCATCACCTATAGTAACATTATTATCTTCATTTCTCAAAATCAGTCCGACTGAGAGCTTCGTTTATCTTTTTCAGGTAATAAATCTACTCCACTCAGCCAAGATCCCGCGGGACCTCTTTGGTCTCTTAAAACATCCACACCAACTCCTGCTGCAGCCCCTAATATAATAATAATAATAATAATAATAATAATAATAATAATAATTATTATTATTATTATTATTATTATTATTATTATTATAAATATCACAGACGTAATGACAATATTCACACACTTCATTTCAGGGTCTAGAATTATCAACATTTCTAAATAATCTGTTTTTTTTTACTATATAGTTTAAAAACCGGAAGTTCATCTTTTAAACATTAATTCGGTGATATTTCTGCCACACGTGGAACTTGTGATTGTTTTTCTGTGTCTAAAAAGTTTATTTAAGTAATTAAAAGCTTTGCTTGTCTCCGTTCAGGTGAGCAGATCCGGTTCTGAGAACCGGGTTCTCTCTGCTGTCTCGTTCCGCTGATCATCATCCCGGCGCGCGCGGCACGTTTGGATCTGCAATCAGACAGAATAGAGAGAGCGCGCGCGAGAGAGAGAGGGGGAGAGATATAGGGAGAAAGAGAGAGGGAGAGGGATGGGGTAGAAGAAGAGGAGATGGAGGGAGGGCTGGAGGTGACTGAGCAGCCCGCTGACCAATCAGGCGCTCGGTGGGCGGGGCTCTGGACTGTCCCACTGCCGCACGGGCCCTGAAAGTTTGTTTATTCGCGGAACGCAGTGCGTGATGAAAACGTGTTAGTCCCTTTTCCCGCTGATAATAATTAAATTCAGTTTTTCTCTAAGAAAAAAAAACTCATCAGAGGGACGCAGATTCACGCGCTCATTCTGGACTTCTGGGAACCGCGCGGTGCCGATTACAGTGCGGACCATGCTCTGTTTTTGCGTGCACCGGACGGAACCGGACCGGCAGCCCCCGTTCTGAAACTCCTCCGACGGAGAGCCGAACCGTTTGAACGCGGCAGCTGATCCGGGACCAGCGAGCTCAACGGGCTGAAAGTTTCCTTGCGCTGGCGGCGGTTTGGGTCGGCACCAGGATCCCCAACCCCGCAGAGAGAACAAGCAAACACTAGACCGATGGAAGACTCGGACTTGAGAAGCTGAAGTGTTCGGGATCAGGATCAGCCCGACCCAAGGGGTTAACCGTGTCTGCAGGGAGCTGGAGGGTCCAGCCTCTCCTCCCGGTCCGGATCAACTCATTGGGTGGGAGCGGAGAGAGAGACAAGAGTCCAGCAAATCAGGAGCTAATTGATTAAAGAGACTTCATTTGAATAGGAGGGGGGCTGGCGAGGTGCCAATCGCCGTTCAAAGCGCCCCCCCCCCCCCCCCCCCCACCCGCCTCCGCCCCCCACCCTGTATGATTAATCGCACGGCATTATTGATAATCATAACGGGGCACATGCGCGGTGGATGGGCTCCGTTTACGTAATTTTTGAGGAGGTTTAAGTCATTTTTTTATTCTTTGCCTGCTGATGTGCCAGCCAGCATGTCGCGGAGGAAACAAGCGAAGCCGCAGCACTTCCAGTCCGACCCGCTTCTGCCTTCACCGGAACACAATGGTGAGTCCGAGAGCGTTGCTTCTCTTCCCGACCGGCCGGTACCGGACCGGGTTCGGGAGTTTCTCACACTTTCAGTTGAACCCGTGACACTCTGGAGTTATGATTAATATTATTATTAATAACTTTCTGCTTAAACCGGCCGCCTGATGGAAATAGCTGTTACTTTTTAAACAAAGTTCGGTTTTTGTTCTTTTTTTTTTTTTTACTTTTTATTGAAACAAATAGTTTAGAATTAAAATCTATCATTAGTCATGTTAGATTATTATTTTATTTTATTATTAGTCACTGCTCTTGGTAAAAGTTTCAAACTTGTTATTATTATTTTAAAACTAAATAAAAGGCTCGGTGCTCTCCGTCCCAGCAGCGGTCGGTGTCGGTGCGCCGAGGCGGACCTCCGTGTCGCTCCTACCGGGACACGCACGTCTCTTGTCCGTGCCACGCGCTGCAGTCCTGCGCGTTAAGGTCCTCTTCCGTCTGTTACGACAAAGCCTCCCTCTCTCTGTTTGCTTGTTTTGTTTAATTTGTTCGAAAAAAAACAGTTTTTTCTTAAATTTGTGCAAACGTGTTTTTTTTTCTGCCGCATTTTTATTATTTTCAAGCAAAAACAAAAGAAGAGTTTAAAGCACTTTTACGCACAGTCACGTTTGTGTTCTAAAATAAAAAAAAAATTCTAAAACGAAATGAATTCAAACCATAAATAAATAGCGAAGTTTTGCATTTATTTTGTATTAAACTGCAATAACGACTTCCTTCCAAATGAAATAAAACGCGTCTTTCATTTTAGTTTGGCTCAAATTTGAAAAAGGCCTGCAGCCGAACTTTTACCTGTCGCTGCTTCAAAATGTTTTGATGTTCATTTTGATCTGATTTTATTCTGATTTGACAGAATAAAAAAAAAACTCCATTAAACTTTGATTTAATAAATTAAAACACAACCTTACAACGCTGTGCTCGTGTCGACTGGCTTTTACGTGAAAATGTGTCTAAAACATTTAAATTAGCATCCTTCAGTTTAAAAGCCAAACATTAAATAAGTAGATAAGTATTTTCCTGCAGAGCTCCTGTCAGGCCTTTTTAAGTAAATGTTGGAATAACCTGGAAAACGCACGCAGCTCGTTGGGAATGCTGAAGGTACAACAGCAGGTCATGTGATTATTTAGAGACTCTGAGAACTGATGTGTGTGTTTTTCTCTGCATTTTTCTTCAAATCTAATAAAGTTTGTGTGTGTGTGTGTGTGTGTGTGTGTGTGTGTGTGTGTGTGTGTGTGTGTGTGTGTGTGTGTGTGTGTGTGTGTGTGTGTGTGTGATTACAGGACATGTTGTTTAGAGAGTTTGGAGGTATTTTGCTGAAACTGAAGGTTGTGGGATGTAGAAGTGGAACAGAAAGTCATTTGTGTCTGTGCTGAAGTTGTGATGCTGCTGGTGGGAGGTCAGGAGCAGCGCGTGGGGGGGGGGGGGGGATGGGTGGGGGCTGAGCTGTTTTAACCTTTGCCAGTGCCCCTCTGAGTGGAGGCGGTGGGGGTCCAGGGCCCAGCGGGCTCCTGTCGTAGCTGCAGGCGGCCCAGAAGAAGGCCTCGGCCCTGAAGCCTTATCAGTGCCTGTCCCCTCGTGTCCCTATCAGAGTGCCCCCCCCCCCCCCCTTTCTCCATAAGAGAAAATGCCGCCCCACCCCCGACACTGTTGTTTCCTTCAAAGAAAGACTTGAGTTGCCTGTCAAGCTGCCAGAGTTTATGTGAGACTAGGTGTGGAGTGAAGGACTCGCTTTGTCTTTTTCCCTCCCCTTTAAGCTTAAACCGTGTCGCCGGGCCAGAGCTGGTGAGATTCCAGTCTTGTCCTGAACCACGGCGGCTTTTAGTGGAACCCCATCTAGTGTTCGGTGGGATGAGTCCAGCAGGGCCGGAGAGGACGTGAGCAGAAACCCTCCTGAAGTTACCAGACGCTCACAGAGGCCCCCTCGGAGAAAAAAACAATGTAGGATTTCTCTCAAAGAGTCTTATTTATTTATTTATTTATTTATTTATTTATTTTGGGACTAACCCTCGTTTTCTCCTCTTTACTAAACACGTCCTGCTGCTCTTTGTCTCTCCTCACTTCCCTTTACGCTTCACATCCAGTTTTGCACAAGCCATCACTTGACTTTATCTTAATTTTAATTCGAAGTTAATCCCTGCTATTTTCAGACTTAAGCCTAATGCTAGCATCTGCGCCGTTGGCCACGCTTGGACGTTGGATTTGAAGTGATGCTTTATCTCACTTTTGTAAAAGATTTTAAACTTTACGGTCGGACGTCGTTTCTGTTTTCTGCTGGGACCGAATCTGGGATGAAGTTGGCTTGAAAGGTCTCAGCTGTGATGAAAACTGTATTCATGCTTTTATTTAACATTTGATAATTAATTCTTAGTATTTGCATTAATATTATATTTGCATTTTAGGCATTTTCAATATTTATCAACATTTTTACATAATTTAAATTGAAATAAAACAGCATAAACACCAGAACGTTTTTTTTTTTGGAGTACAGGTTTCTGCAGATTTTAACCCATAAATATTTTATTTATGAGTCATTACTCTGCGTTTTTGGCTCCAACACTGTGACAGATGAGTGATTTGTGTGAGTCAGCCTGGAGGAAAGAGAAAAGAAAGCATTTATTTAATTCTCACATTTTCACTTTACAAATCGAGCACTTTCCCTACCAATAAGTGATGGCTCGGCGTGCACGGCGGCGGGTGGGAGGAAGAGGGGGATTTAACACGAAAAGTTATCATTAAAGTTGAATCTTCTCTGTTTGCATGGTTTGGTGGTGTGAGGGCCGGGGTTTACTGTCATGGCAACTTTGTGTTATCTGGTGTCTCTGAGCAGAGAAACACTGAGGGAGATAATCCCTGAATTAAACAGGATCTGCTTTGAGTCGGCCGAGATGAGCAGGGCCAGGCTGTGCCGACGATTCCCGCCGCTCCCATGCTGCGTGAACAATGGGAAGGCATCCTGTCTCTCTGTGGGGCAGGGCTGCACTTCTCCGGGTTTCATTTGCAAATGAATTCTTGGCCCTGATGAAAGTGTTGAGGGGGCCGGAGCCACAATGAAAGGGATTCATAGAGAAATGCAATTTGTAAATCAACATGTATGTTAAATAGTGAGATTTTAGTGTGACAAAGAGGGAAATGAATGAGGAAAGTCTGGAGCGCAGCGGTGGCTCTGGGGGCTGGGTGTCGTCTCTGTTTTAAACGCTCCGTTTATTAAAACGGAACATTTGAAAACCTGTTTCTGCCCGGTCGTCAGCGGGGGTGATTGCTTTTGAGTTATTGTGTGAGTGAAAGCAGACGCTGCTGTTTCTGCTGTGTCCAGTTTGTCAGTTTTCTCAACTTTGGGATGAATTTAAATAAATCCTCCTCACTTCTTTTATTTTATTCCCTCAAAATAAAATTCCTTAAATAAAGTTTTGGATTTTGCCGTGGTTTTATGGTTGTTTTGTTGCAACGGTCTGCGCGCCACAGGCTCTGTTGTTTTGGTCCGACTGCGACGGCGAGGAGGCAGGAAGCAAATGAGTTTAGTGACATAGATGACCTGTCCAGGATGCCCACAGCTGGATGAAAATGAGCAAAGTTGACAGCGAATTGAAAGTCTAATAAGTCCTTCAAATGCTTGATTCGCGCAGAGTGGACAAGTAGACTTTGAAGGGCATGGAATATAGGAAATCAATGCCTTACTATGAAATTTCATTAGGACCCAATGTTCTCCGTTCACTCCGGTTTATATTTTGATGGATTATCTGAAGAAGAAAATGATTACCTTTGCTTGGCTGATGAAGCCCAGATGTACATCTTCAAAGATCACTTTTAAGCAATATTTGCATAGTTTCCATTGATTTGGTTTCCCGTCTTATCGTGTTTCAGAGGCCACCGCATTGAAAAAGGCTTTTCTCATTTCGGTTGGCTTATTGTTGCCTCGGGATCATTGTTTTTGTGAGCGCGTCAAAAGGATAAGTGTAAAACTGATTAACTTAAGATTAACAACAATGGAATTTGAGGAGATAAAGCTGCTTCTTCAGCTGCAAAACATCTCTAATCACTAATCCTCTGTTTCCGCTTTTTCAGGGGACACAGAACTTTGCTCCGAAGACCCCTCCTGCAAGGAGTCCGACGCCCATGTCTGCAGCAGATGTTGTGCCGAGTTCTTTGAAATCTCTGATCTTGAGGAACACCAGAAGAATTGCACTAAGAATCAGTTAGTCCTGATAGTGAATGAAAATCCCGTTTCTCCTGCTGGAACGTTCTCGCCTGGGTCTCCTCCTCCTAATCCCGATGACCAGATGAATGAGGCAGCTAATAACACCGATCAAGCGGAGTGCAGTGACCTTTTAGAGCCGAACGCGCTTGAAAAAGAAGAAACCATGGATGTGGATGTTTCCGGAATGAGCAGTGGTCACGAAGAGGAGGGCAGCCAGACTGAGAACGGGACCGCTGTCGACGCAGTCGGTAACCACGCGGGCAGACCCACCTCTGGTCCTGCTGTGGGTACTCCAGCAATCTCTGCTTCGTTACCTCAGCTCAGTAACTTAACCGAATTGGGAAACTTCTCCATGATCAACAGCAACGTCATTATTGAAAATCTGCAGAGCACCAAAGTGGCTGTGGCTCAATTTTCCCAAGAGGCCCGGTCCACTGGGGGGCCCAGGGTGGCTGTGCCAGCCCTGATGGAGCAGCTTTTAGCCCTGCAACAACAGCAGATTCACCAGCTGCAACTTATAGAGCAAATACGCCATCAGATCCTCTTATTAGCCTCCCAGTCTCCAGAAATGCAGGTACCCCCAACGGCAGCTCCAGGCTCAATGGGGCCCGCTGCCAGCCCACTGACCACGCTCAGCTCCCATCTCTCTCAGCAGCTGGCCGCAGCCGCAGGCCTCGCACAGAACCTGGCGAGTCAGTCAGCCAGCATTAGCAGCCTAAAACAGCTGGCTGCAGCGGCACAGCTACCTCAGGCCAACCCAAGCAGCAGTGACACATCTCAGAGCATTACCACACTGGGACCATCAACAGTCAATCCTCAGTCCTCAGACAAGAGACCTGGTGTCATGAGCAGCCTCCACTCTCAGCTAAGCAGCTGCTCACTAGCTAAATCATCAGCACCAGCATTTGGAATAGGTAGCTTGTTAAGTTCTGCAGTGAATCCCCTTCTACCTCAGCCTCCACCTGGAAACCCTGTGTTCTCTAGCTCTCTGCCAAGTTCCGGCACCACCGTAGAAGACCTAAACTCCTTAGCAGTTCTGGCCCAGCAGAGGAAAGGCAAACCACCAAATGTTACTTCATTTGAGCACAAGAGCAGCTCTGACGAGGCTTTCTTCAAACACAAGTGCAGGTTTTGTGGCAAGGTATTTGGGAGTGACAGTGCCTTGCAAATCCACCTTCGCTCTCACACCGGCGAAAGGCCATACAAGTGTAATATCTGTGGCAACCGCTTCTCCACTCGTGGTAATCTGAAGGTGCATTTTCAGCGTCATAAAGATAAATACCCTCACATCCAGATGAACCCGTACCCTGTCCCCGAACATCTAGACAACATACCAACAAGCACAGGTATTCCATACGGCATGTCTATGCCCCCTGAGAAACCTGTGACCAGCTGGCTGGACAGCAAACCGGTTTTACCCACTCTAACAACTTCAGTCGGTATGCTACTGCCACCAACCATACCGAGTCTGCCTCACTACATCAAAAAGGAAGATCATTCAGTAGCCATAACCAGCCCTTCAGTTACTGCAAAGACAGACTCAGGTGCTTCCGAGGCTTCAGCTAAAAGTCATGAAAGAGTGTCCGAAGAAGGCGAAGGTGCAACTTTGCCAACCTCAAATGGAAAAACAGACGAAGGCAGCCACTCCTCAGGCTTTATAACAAATGTGAACTCTGCCTTAGAAAGTGTTGCAGAGTATACGACTTCTAACAGCCCACCCATGATGACCAACCCACTCATGCCCCTTCTGACTGATCAGTTCAAGGCTAAGTTCCCCTTTGGCGGCATCCTGGACCCCCTCCAGGGGTCAGAGACCTCCAAGCTGCAGCAGCTTGTGGAGAACATTGACAGGAAGGTGACAGACCCAAATGAGTGTGTCATCTGCCATCGGGTGCTGAGTTGCCAAAGCGCTCTGAAAATGCACTATCGCACTCACACCGGGGAAAGACCCTTCAAATGTAAAATCTGTGGCAGAGCGTTTACCACCAAGGGGAATCTTAAGACCCACTACAGTGTCCACCGGGCCATGCCTCCTCTTAGAGTCCAACACTCCTGCCCTATTTGCCAGAAGAAGTTCACCAACGCTGTGGTTCTTCAGCAACATATTCGCATGCACATGGGCGGCCAGATCCCAAACACCCCCTTGCCGGATAGCTATCCAGAGTCCATGGCTTCTGATACTGGCTCTTTCGAGGACAGAAACTTTGATGATCTGGACAATTTTTCTGATGACAACATGGATGGGATGGAGGAGGGTCCTGATAGCAGTATCCCAGACACACCGAGATCTGCTGATGCTTCGCATGACAGCCTCTGTAACTCCCCAATTCCTGTTGAAATGACCAACCATGAGGAGCAGGAGAGAACTGCCCAAGAGCGTGTCCAAATGAGTGAAATGAATGAGCTCCGAGCTTCCCAGATGAAGGTTATGTCAAATGATTTAATTGAAGGGGATTGCCTCACCAATGATTCCTCATCTCTAGGAGGGGATATTGAAAGCCAAAGCGCTGGTAGTCCAGCTGTGTCAGAATCTACCTCCTCCATGCAGGCACCATCCCCCTCTAGCATACAGCCACAACCACGTAAATCCCCCAGCCTTGAAGAAAGGCACCAGAGGGCCGTATCTTCTGACCACACCACTGCAAGCCTCTTGCACTCCCATCCCTCCAACATTGGAGCCCTGGACCTGTCATCTGTCAATCCCTCAAAAGATCCCCTGGGCATGATTTTCCCCTTCCGTGAGCGTAACACCATCAAGAACACATCCTGTGACATCTGTGGGAAGACCTTTGCATGTCAGAGTGCCTTGGACATTCACTATCGAAGCCATACCAAAGAGCGACCATTTATTTGCACGGCTTGTAACAGGGGTTTCTCTACCAAGGGCAACCTCAAGCAGCACATGCTAACTCATCAAATGAGAGATCTGCCCTCACAGCTCTTTGAGCCATCAAATACCAGCCTGTCCTCCAGCCCGACCCCTTCCCTTCTCCCCGTTGGGCCTCTCAACAAGCCCGAGGTCAACGGGTTCCTCCATAGCCTCCATCAAGAGACCAAGGACATTACCCCAAGTTTGGTCACATCGTCCGCCTCCACCTCCCCAGTGCTCTCCTCTGCTCCACCACGCAGAACGCCCAAGCAACACTTCTGCAACACCTGTGGGAAGTGTTTCTCTTCTTCCAGTGCTCTACAGATCCACGAGAGAACCCACACAGGAGAGAAACCGTTTGCATGCAGCATCTGTGGCCGGGCCTTCACCACCAAAGGAAACCTCAAGGTAAATGCTAAAGCACCCGGAAAGGCTGCCAGTCTCCTAAAAATGTGTGCGTGAGAATGTTTGTGAAAAATGAGTCTCAGACCTCCTGTTTAGCATTTTATTGCTTGTTAGAGAAGTTGACATGAAGAGGTGATAATGTCGTATAATTAATGAAAGAAACAGCGTGGTGAGAGAAAAGTCAACCGAGTGGAAAGGCTGAATCATGCAGATGATGTGATGGTCGGGGGTGAAATTCCAGAATGTGATCAGCTACGAGTGATTTGGTACACTGAGTTAATTATCACAGTGAACTAGGTCAACCTGTTTTTTTCCATCACAGATTATCTAAAAAAAATGTCACAGTCCGATGTCGCAGAAAACCAGCAGCTGCTGGGGAACCTAAAGTGGTTTTGACAGGGTTGCTGTCTGAGAGGACTTCAGGTTTGGTGTTCTGTTGATTGTTGTGTCGGCGCATTAGATGTCCTGTAAGAAGGTTTAAGCGACACACTGCTGTCTGGATGTCTTTACGGACTATGAAGGAGAGAAAAAGGTGAAATGCTGGATAAAATAATGGCTTGAGCAACGAAAAAGGACCGTGTAATCGCGTCTCGAGCTCTGTGCTCTCCTTGCGAGACGAGACAATAAAAGTTTAGATTAAATGCCAAAACAAGATGTTCACACCAGACTGGTACCTCTTGCAGCTTAAGCAGCTAACTAGCCTGCTGCACCCAGGGTGTGAAGCTATTTAAATGCCGTCTAGCATTATGATTCTTTTTTCCATTGCATCACCTCATGAGCAGCTCCTGTGGCCAACCTTTGTAAACAACACTCATTCTCATCCATCTTTGTCTTTTCTCTCTGTTCCCTCTCCTCCCCTTATGTGTTCCTCTCTCTCTCCTTCAGGTTCACATGGGCACGCACATGTGGAACAGCGCCCCTGCCAGACGTGGTCGCAGGCTCTCCGTGGATGGTCCCATGGCCTTCCTGGGTACAAACCCAGTCAAGTTTCCCGAGATATTCCAGAAGGACATGGCGTCGCGGGCAAGCAACGGGGACCCGACAAGTTTTTGGAACCAGTACGCGGCGGCCTTCTCCAACGGCCTGGCAATGAAAACGAACGAGATCTCGGTCATTCAGAACGGAGGCATCCCTCCCATGTCGGGGGGCATGGGGAATGGGGGCAGCTCTCCCCTCGGCGGCCTGACGGGCAGCCTGGACAAGCTGCACAACACGGAACCCAACGCCGCCCTCGCCGGCCTGGAGAAAATGGCCAACACGGAGAACGGTTCCCACTTCCGCTTCACGCGCTTCATCGAGGACAATAAAGAAATTATCACCAATTAAGAGAGAGAGAGAGTGTGTGTGAGTGTGCGCTCATGTTGGGCGCACAACGATGCCTTTAGGCATTCCGTAAACACACACACACACAGGATAGAACAAGACGAGGATAAAATCAAAACAAACTGCTGCGCTCGTCACAAATCTTTACGAACTCTCGTGTGGAGACACGTTGCTCTTTTTGTACAATGTACATGTCATAGTTTTACGGAGCCTATTTATTAGTGATTATAATCTTGCTTGAAAAACAAGTGGAAGCATTAACAGTTAGGGTTTGTTTCTTTCCGAAGCCAGAGTCGGTGTGTTTGGGTGCTTTTGAGAAGATCTGGTTAGATGACCTTACCTTGGCATTAAGTTATTTTCTGTCTGTAGTAGCTATAACCGAGCTGTCCATGTTCCTGTGATGCGTTAGCCCTGCAACGAGCAAACAGACTTGCTGTAAATAATGTACACTGATCTCCTGTAGATGCTCTAACTGTTTCTCTCCTCTTGTTGGCATAAAACGACGACATTCAAGGGACAAAAATGACTTTAGGTCCTTGTTTCTCCCCACTTACTCTTGTTTTATTTAAGGAAGGTAAAATATTGAAGTTTGTTACGTTTTCAGAGTTTCCTTTAGTGTCACCTTTTGTTGTTTACTTTCTCTGTGTTTTGTTCTTTCTCACTTTTGTTTACTTATATAAATATTTCCTTCTCCTGTCTTTGTTTTGTCGATATTAAAAGTGAGACTTTTATTTCCAGGGAGTATTCGGTCTGAACCATCCAATCATTTGAGGTTTTTGGTTTTTCTCTGCTGGATTTCCACATTGCTGCTACGTCCCAGCATCCTCACTGGCATCCGGCTTCTGTACATGCATCAGACGTGGAAATGCAAACTCCCCCTTGAGAAAAATGTACATAGCGATCACACGAGACGTCCCTCGTCCCGGGCAGAGGGACGGACTGATAGTGTTTTTCTAAATATAAATATATAATATGGTTTTGACAACCTTTGGACTGTTACATGCACTTTCTTGGAAAGTTGGAAGATCTTTATGGGTCCAGTTTCTCTACACTTTAATACCTACTAACAACTAAGATACTGTAATTCTTTACTCTAATAATCAAATACATCAGTTTTCCAAAAGAAACTTTGTGTTTGTGTGCTTTTATTTACCACTAATTAAAAAATCACTCATATATTCTTGCTTTTCAGTCATTTCTGCAGCTGCTTTGCTGCAAACGGATGATTTCATCTTTGCAATTCTGCTGAAAATGTTCTATGTTGCTGAAATGGTTAAAGTTAAAGCATAAAACGTCTTCATTGGAGGATTTTTTTTTTGCAGATCTGTTCATGTATTTCTAAATAGGGCTGTAATTATAAATAATTCAGTTTTTTTAAAGCAGCTTAAAGGAGAAAATATCACACAGTTTTTTTTTTCTATAAATAAATGTAAATGCAAATGAACCGAGCGGTTCACAAAGGTTTAAAACAAGTTGTCAAATTGCTGAATAAAGATCTCGACGGACTCGAACATGTTTGCCTTTTTTGAAAACTGATTTTTTCCCCCCCTCTTTTGTATTTCAACAGCTGCTTTTAATTTAACACATCGCTGCACATCCTGCAATCCAGGATCTGTTTGTCTCTTCTCGTCCAGCATCCTCGGCGCTCCCGTCTCTCCACGAAGGCCAAAATCCTCAATATTTACGTTTTAGATTTCAATACGTCCAAGCTAAATGATCCTTGCCCACAGTGCCTGCTTTCCTTTTTACAGTCACATCTGGTCCCCTGAGCTGTGTTTGTGCAGCGCCGCGGCTTCCTGAGAGATTCCTCCAAAAACAGAAAGGAAAACAAAACGGATCCACATTCCTGACTAATGGGAACAAAATAATCAGCTGGGTTTGAAGCATTTTCACTGCTTGAATTACAAATAATCCTCTCTATTATTATTATTATTATTATTTGTTATCATTATATTATTATTATTATATTATTGATTGTATTATTTTATTATTATATTATTATATTATTATTAATTGTTATTATTATTATTATTATTATATTATTATTATATTATTGATTGTATTATTTTATTATTATATTATTATATTATTATTAATTGTTATTATTGTTATTATATTATTATTATTAATTATATCAACACTAATAATATTAATAATGATAATTTGGCTAGAATACGTTATGTTAAGGTTTGTGATTTAACTCCTGATGGCGTGAGCTGCACACGGTTGTGGATCAGAACCATCCTGCAGAAGCAGCACCTCTCCCGCCGACTGGGCTTCCTGCCTCCTGGATCCTTGCTGTAGTATCGATTTGAGCTGTGCAGTAATACAGAAACACTTGAATCTCAGGTGGCAGGAATGTGTACGATTGATCTCTTCCACTGTGGCTCCCAGCAGGGGCTTTTTTTCTCGCTTTATAACACACACACACACACACACACACACACACACACACACACACACACACACACACACACACACACTCAGACTGAGAGCGGTGCTGTCCCGGTCGGCCCCGCTGCTGCAGCTGCAGTTGCAGGTCTCTGTACTCTCGACTTCAGGAGCTTCCAGAGTTCAGAGACGTGCTTTTCTAACAGACATTCCCAAATGGAAAACTGGATTTATTATCAGCATCTTTTTTTTCCTCGTTGAGCCTAAATGCCTTGATGGCTGAGTCGCTGAGGAGGATGGGGCCCATCAGCCTGGAAGCATTACCGTCTTTAGCTGTAAGCCACTCCTGTCCACTCACTGTACACTTGAAGGTTCATTAAAGGGTTGGCTTTAACTCAGGGCTGCGTGAGCTGCTGCTACATCATTTCATCGTTTATCTTCATGAGAGTTGACTCGTTTTAAAAATTCTTTTTGGCCAAATGTCCAAATCCTCCCCAAAAATCAAAATTTTCAGTTAATTTTAAAACATGGTCCCTTAATTGCTGTAATTCTGCTTTATATTGACCATTTCATTACAATTTACAGTACTAGTAAATCTAAACATTCATAACAGACAGCAAGTGGATTTTTGTGTTTAGTATAGAAGCAGCACACACACACACACACACACACACTTCCTGACTGATTGTTGAGATCAGCTCTGTGTCCCCGTGTGTGCAGGTCCAGCTGAGATGAAGCTGCAGCAGGAGAATCTCTGGAGCTGTCGGCCCTCCTGAGTCGATACAAACCGTAGCCTGAGGCCCATCCTGGACTCCCCGCTGAGGGTTCTGGCCCGACTCAGGGAGGTCAAAGCCCCGCTGAGAACAAAGGAGACCCAGGCGCTGCTTACTGTGCCCAGATCTGGCACACCTGCCCAACTGTCACTCATGGGGTGAAGGAACTAGACAGAGGTGCCTATATGTAACACACCCGTGTGGTTTGTTTTTACTTTAACGAGGAGTGTCTAAAAATTCTCCTCATGACTTCGCTTCTTAAAGGTGTAGTTCACTGAAAACAAAATTTAATGATTATTTCTGACTATAATCGGTCAGTATTTGTTTCACTCAGGCTGAACGTGAAAATAGTCTCCTACACCTATCTCCTGCATTAGCTTCTGATAGAAACTCCAGGATTAGAAAAGCCTGACAGGTCTACGTCACAATGCATTTAACTAAGTTAATCTAGGCCGTTCTAAAGCAATGAACTAGAAGCCTTTATTCTAGTTTACAGGTACGTTAGAATACCAAACCCTCAAACGAAGTTCGTTCCACTCCGGTACAGTAGGTGGCGACATGTGCCCTTTCGAGTCAGCATTACTGGTTAGTTTATAGCAACACAGATACACTCAACAAAAATATAAACGCAACACCATTGTTTCAGGCCCGATTTTTCATGAGATGGACTTAAAGATGTAAAATTCATTCCAGGTACACAATATTACCATTTCTCTCAAACGTTGTTCACAAATCCATCTAAATGTGTGATAGTGAGCACTTCTGCTTTGCTAAGATAATCCATCCAACATCACAGGTGTGCCACATCAAGATGCTGATCCGACATCATGAGTAGTGCACAGGTGTACTTTATACTGCCCACAATAAAAGGCCACCCTGGAATGTGCAGCTTTGTCTCACAGCAAAATGCCACAGATGCCACAAGCATTGAGGGAGCGTGCAATTGGCATGCTGGCAGCAGGAATGTCAACCAGATCTGTTGCATTTGTATTGAATGTTCGTTTCTCCACCATAAGCTGTCTCCAAAGGTGTTTCAGAGAATATGGCAGTACATCTAACTGGCCTCACAACCGCAGACGACGTGTAACCACACCAGCCTAGGACCTCCACATCCAGCAAGTTCGCCTCGGAGATCGTCTGAGATCAGCCACTCGGACAGCTGCTGAAACAATTGGTTTGCATAACCAAACAATTTCTGCACAAACTGTCAGAAACCGTCTCAGGGAAGCTCAACTGCATGCTCGTCGTCCTCATCGGGGTCTTGACCTGACTCCAGCTCGTCGCCGTAACAGACTTGGGTGGGCAAATGCTCACATTCAATGGCATCTGGCACGTTGGAGAGGTGTTCTCTTCACGGATGAATCTCGGTTTACATTGTTCAGGGCAGATGGCAGACAGTGTGTGTGGCGTCGTGCGGGTGAGCGCTTTACTGATGTCAATGTTGTGGATCGAGTGGCCCATGGTGGTGGTGGGGTTATGGTATGGGCAGGCATCTGTTATGGACGAAGAATACAGGTGCATTTTATTGATGGCATTTTGAATGCACAGAGATACCGTGATGAGATCCTGAGGCCCATTGTTGTGCCGTACATCCATGAACATCACCTCATGTTTCAGCAAGATAATGCACGGCTCCATGTTGCAAGGATCTGTACACAGTTCTTGGAAGCTGAAAATGTCCCAGTTCTTGCATGGCCAGCATACTCACCGGACATGTCACCCGTTGAGCATGTTTGGGATGTGCTTGACCGGCGTATACAACAGCGTGTACCAGTTCCCACTAATATCCAACAACTTCGCACAGCCATTGAAGAGGAGTGGACCAACATTCCACAGGCCATAACTGACAATCTGATAAACTCTATGCGAAGAAGATGTGTTGCACTGCATGAGGCAAATGGTGGTCACACCAGTTCTGAGTCCCCAGACCCCCAATAAAGCAAAAAAAAAAAAAACTGCACATTCCAGGGTGGCCTTTTATTGTGGGCAGTATAAGGTACACCTGTGCACTACTCATGATGTCAGATCAGCATCTTGATGTGGCACACCTGTGAGGTCAGCAAAGCAGAAGTGCTCACTATCACACATTTAGACTGATTTGTGAACAATGTTTGAGAGAAATGGTAGTATTGTGTATCTGGAATGAATTTTAGATCTTTAAGTCCATCTCATGAAAAATCTGAGCAGAAACAAAGGTGTTGCGTTTATATTTTTGTTGAGTGTAGTAAACAGATGCTGGGGGGAGTGAAGCAGGTGGAGTACAAACAGGATACGTACAATGGCCGAAGGAATGGACAACACCGCTGCTGATATGGTACGTGCTGCGCTGTTTGATGCTGTTACATGTGTTACTTTGTGGTGACCATAGACGTGAATACGTAGACACCCCATTGGGCGCTGGAGAGCATAACAGGATCACCGCCAAATTGGATGAGTCCCTCACTCTCCAAACCCAACTAGAGTCGACAGAGAGAGAACAGCTACGCCCCTTTTGGTGCATCCTACTACTGAAATCAGATCACGTGGGACTCTTCTAGTCTACCTGTAGAGATTTTATATTAAACTTTTTTATTTATTGTATGTTATTACATTTTTATTTGAACTATCATGCCATACCAGATGTCTGATTTTGTGAAAAAAAAAAACATTTTAAAATGAGTTTTTTTTAGTTTGGTAAGCACCTTTCTCGGTGGAAAGGAATACACTGGGGACGAATAGAGACCCATCCAAGATGGCATTTGGCCACTATGGCAGTTGGTCTATGTATATGATGTCTATAATGGCGATGACATTATCAGATGACTGCTTCTGCGGTCTAACCAGTATCAGTGTGACTGAGCCGTTTACATGCAGATGAAGTCGGGTACCTACTGCAATTTCCAGGTGCTTCAGCATGATTACAGCCAGTTCACCTGCAGCAAGACTAACGTGTTTTTCTGCAATCAAAAAACATCATTAGTCTATTCATGGACGTAATTTTTTTTTTTTGGGGGGGGGGGGGGGGGGGGGACATGTCCCCCCCCACTTTTTCCAAAGTCAAGTTTTGACCCCTGCACTTTTTACCATCCAAAAACAACATTACGCTATGTTAAACTGACTGGTTGAGCTTTAGGACCAAGCAGAAAACAACCGTTTGTGTTGAAGCCTGTTTCCCATTAGAGTGTACTGTAAAGATATACCCCCCCCCCCCCCCCCGTGTCCCCCCCCCCCACTTCTAAAGCGAAAATTACGTCCATGAGTCTATTTAGGGCAACAGTTCGGTTTTCAGGTGTGCATGTGAACGTGCCTAACATTCGTGGATTTCCCCATCTTGACCCGTAACGTAGACGGCTGGTGTTTTGTGTGTGTGTGTGTGTGTGTCCAGGAAACAGCAGAGAACGTCTCGGCTAATCTAAGCTAACTGTTAGCATTAGCAACTCCACCACACAGCAGAACTCCTCCAGACTTGTGTTATTTTCAGAGATAAAGCATCAACGTTGCAGAGCACGCAGAGTCAGTGGTAGTCGTGTTGCTGTTAGCCAATCAGAGGAGAGATTTTCTACTCTCTTCTCCAGTTAAAGTGTCTGTGCTGATTCAGGCGCTTCTGGTCCCCCCCCCCCCCCCCCCCCCCCCCCCACCCCAGAGAATGATTATAAGGCATTCATTCCTACTAGAGACCACTGCAAATGTATTGATTAAACAACTGTTCACCTACTCTAATGTTTTGTTTCTTTAATTCAGCTTTTAATCTGTACTTTCGTGTGTTTTGCATGGAACACCTGATCTTCTCAGTACAAAACCAGAGCAGGAGTTTAAGCTCAAGCCACAAGGATATGTCAGATTTTC